CGTGTGAGTGGAAGCTCGGTACACCATCCGACACGACCCCAGCTTAACGTCCCAATCTCTTTCGTTCTCGACAAACGCCTTCAACAGGTTTATCAGCGTCCTATTCGTCCCCTGAATTTGACCATTCCCTTGCGGGTTGTTGCACCAGCTTTATCAATTCCAGGGCACCTACACAATTCGGATTACATCATTTCTAAAATTAGTGCCATGATCCCAGGGTAGTCGAAATGAAGCGGGTCGTTATAAGTGGGCTATTGCTCAGATATCCTAACCTTTGTTTAACTCTTTCTTCCGTACTCAACCCTGGCCCTTTGCCCCTTCAAACCCGGAACATTCCCTGAGACAACTTGTTCGTCACTTGCCAAAGTTCGTCGCCAAGTAGCCCGGTAAGTAGTTTACCACAAAATAAATTGTAGATTCTGAAGCCTCGTCAAACTGATTCTGGGGCCTTCAAAGTGAGGACCCTGATGCAGGTAGGTCAACAAGCGTATCTAGCACGTACAATGGACTCTTTGGGCATTGATGTCTGCTGCGTGTCCGAGACGCAAATCCAGGATCCTAGTACTGTAAGCCACCTAAGTGCACGGGGGTTGTCTTCGAGGTTCTTCCGCCCGTCAGTTGACGATGAAGCCCGTTCAGTAGACCAGTGTGGTGTGGGCATTGTACTGAACAATAGAGCCAAAGCCGCACTACTCGATTGGATCCCTGTCAACAGTCGCTTATATGCGATGCGGTTCCAAGGGTCTATCAGCGTCCGGAAGGGCAGCAACACAAAAAGGTGTTTGTTCATCATTTCAGCGTATGCACCGACCAACTGCTGTTCTGATGCACAAAGGGACCAGTTTTATGATAAACTCACCGATCTCATTCATTTTAGCCGAAGCTCCAATATAGTTGTTCTCACAGGTGATTTTAACGCTCAAGTAGGAAAACTGAACGCATCGGAAGCTTGTCTAGGCAGTCATTGTGCTCTGCCCTGCCAGCGAACAGATGATGGTGATCGGTTTCTTCAGTTCTGCGCAGATCACCATCTGTTCCTATCCACCACCAACTTCCGACACAGCTGTCAACGGACAGCAATGTGGAGCTTAAATTCAACTGGCACGCTAACTCAGATCGACCACAGCAGTAAGCTACCGTTGCTGCGGCTCAGTAGAAAATTGCAGATCCTATTGGACCACCTGCGTTGAATCTTATGCGTTAGTTTGATGCAGTTTTCTCCCGAACTGATTGGTCGCAGAAAATCCCACCAAACTCGATTGGCAGNGATTTGGAGTACGCTGACGGCATCGTCTGCTTGTTCAAATGTATGGAGGATGCACACAGAGCACTAACAAGTGCTCTTATCATGCGTTAGTTTTGATGCAGTTTTCTCCCGAACTGATTGGTCGCAGAAAATCCCACCAAACTCGATTGGCAGATCATGGTTGATACGACCCAGCCGTTCGTACCCGTTTTGAATCAGAACTAGGGCGAGAGCTAAATGCGCTGCGGGGTGGTAGTGTAGGTAAACAGTGAGATCAGAGTAACCGAGCAATGCATTCCGCAGCAAAGGTTGCTTTTGGATCTGAAACTGTAGCCCGACCGGGGCATTGGATATCTGATGAGTCAGTAGCACTGATAGACAAAAAGTGGCAAATCCCGACCGACCGCGATCAAGGCAGGGTTAGGTGGCGTCTGCAACGTCCACTGAAGAAGAGCCTCAAGAAAGATCGTGAGAACTGGTCGGCAACGGTAGCTAGTAAAATGGAAGTACTAGCTGCATCAAAGACTGTTCCAACTGATACGTTTTACGGAGGTCGGCGGACCACGGTTAGTGCACCAATTTGCGACAAAAAAGGGCAAGCTATTCACAATAGAGAACAAGGGCATGACCGGTGGGCGCAGTACTTCAACGGACATTTCAGCTGACCATGCGCTAACCAGGCTATCTCCTCCAATGTAGCTTAGGCTTCATGGGCAGTGTCATCTAAACCTCCTACTGTGGCAGAAGTTGGTTCCTGCATCCAAGTCCTGAAGAAAAGCAGCAGGACCTGACGGGCTTTCTCCTACTCTTT